GCAGGTTGCAAGGCTGTTGGGATTTTAGTTTAGGGTTTAGGGTTTAGGGGTTTAGGGTTTAGGGGTTTAGGGTTTCAGGGTTTAGGGGTTTAGGGTTTCAGGGTTTAGGGGCTAAGGTTTAGGTTTCAGTGTTTAGGTTTTAGGGTTCAAGGTCTAGAGTAGTACCTTTCCCTGAAATAACATGGAAACGGTCCATGGAGCACTGTCCTTTTCGATTCAAAGGGGCCAGATGCGGTTTCATGTCAGTTCGCGGGAGGGCTTGTTTGAATGTCTTTGGGTTTCTGCCCAGCAACTATCACCAACTGTCCATAAACACCATGCGCTTTCGTGGGCAGTTGTCCAGAACTTGGCTGGGTGCAATTTCCTGAAAGTGTGCGCTGATTATCCATTTTGCAAAATTTTCTGTCCCGAAAAATGGTCCGTTGGAATCACATGCAAAGACCTAAAACGCTAAACCTTATGCCCTATCTGAACCCTAAAGCCTAAGCCGCAAGCCCGTACTCGTTGCATCCCTAAACCCTCAACGAGCCCTGGAAGCCCTAAACCGTAACCCCCCTAAACTCCTAAACCCTTGAAACCCTAAACCAGTGAAACCCTAAACCCTTGAAACCCTAAACCCTTGAAACCCTTGAAAGCCTAAACCCTTGAAACCCTAAACCCTGTAAACCCAAAACCCTTTAAACCCTAGACCCTTGAAACCCTAAACCCTTGAAACCCTATATAAGCCCTTGAAACCCTAAACCCTTGAAGCCCTAAACCCTTGAAACCCTAAACCCTTTAAACCCTTGAAACCCTAAACCCTTGAAACCCTTGAAAGCCTAAACCCTTGAAACCCTAAACCCTTGAAACCCTAGACCCTGTAAACCCAAAACCCTTTAAACCCTAGACCCTTGAAACCCTAAACCCTTGAAACCCAAAACCCTTGAGACCCTATATAAGCCCTTGAAACCCTAAACCCTTGAAGCCCTAAGCCCTTGAAACCCTAAACCCTTTAAACCCTAAACCCTTTAAACCCTTGAAACCCCAAACCCTTGAAACCCTAAACCCTTGAAAGCCTAAACCCTTGAAACCCGAAACCCTGTCAACCCAAAACCCGTTAAACCCTAGACCCTTGAAACCCTATATAAGCCCTTGAAACCCTAAACCCTTGAAGCCCTAAACCCTTGAAACCCTAAACCCTTTAAACCCTTGAAACCCTAAACCCTTTAAACCCTTGAAACCCTAAACCCTTGAAACCCTAAACCGTATGTTCCCAAAACATAAGGTTTGGCAACCGATGCCTTTGAGCCGGAGTTTTTCCAACCTGGAGTTCTGCTAGCTGTGCCTTGGGGGGTTGGGGTTGAGGGTTTAGGGTTTAGGGTTCAGGGTTTAGGGTTTAGGGTTTAGGTTTTAGGGTAGGTAGGGATGTATAAAGGGGGTATATAGAGACATGATATGTAGGGTTTAGGATTTGGCGTCGAATGGTTGAAGGGTTCAAGGGTTGCGTGTTTGGGGTCGAAGAAGGTATGTTTGGGGTTCGGAGCATTTGTGCATTTTGCCCCCGTGTCGTAGGTCCCCAACCGTATAAAACTCAAAACTAGGGCAACCCCGTAGCCCTAAACTCACGACGAAAGAAGGCCATATTTAGTCCTGCTGTTGGTGGCCCACCTAGGGTCCCCAAAGTCCTCCTGTTTCCAGCAGTTAAGAGACTTAAGGTGCTGAGGGGTTTCTTCAATGTCTAAATCCATAATCCTAAGCCCTGAACCTGTAAGTGCTCAATCCTATTTCCCAAATCCTAAGCCCTAAGCCCCCAACCCTAGAAGGTTACCGGGAAACCAAGGTGGTATGCGTCCTACTCTGGAGCTTGTGCGTTTACAAAGAGCTTCGAAGCAACCCTGGCTGCTCCAGCAGTAACTTCTGAGTGTCGTGTCTAGGGCTTAGGGTGTTTACGCATTTTGGCAACCCTAAAACTGAGAATCAAGAGGAAGAGAAAACAGAAAAAAGGCAATGGAGCTAAAAACCCTAAACCTTGCATGGTGACTTATGACGCAGAAGTGCCGGCTTCAATAGCAAGAGGAGGAGTAGTAGTAGCAGTAGTAGTAGTAGTAGAAGAAGTAGTAGTAGCAGTAGTAGAAGTAGTAGAAGGTACAAAGAGTAAGAACAATGGGAATAGCAATAGTAAGTTTTGTGTCCTATGGCCCTAAAAACACGAGCTTTGATGTTTGTTTTGCCTTTTACTATTTGCTCCCCCAATAAAGCTAACAGGAATGTGGGCAGAGTGCCGCAATGTTACATCCACAGAAACATTAAATTTACAGCGCCCGTGGACTCAGCCCAGGCATCGTGCATGCCTTTGAAGCTGTTCGCTTAATCCCGCGCTCTGCCACGACAATCTTGCAGGATAACGTCTTGCAGAGCCTAAGTATTTCACGCTTCAAAGTGCTCAAGGCAACGTATGTCGTGCGAACTTTAATTGCAATCTCGCTCTTGATGTCTGGAATTCGATGGCTGGCCCAAACAACATCGATCACTGAACTCATGTTGAATGCAGTTGCCTTGAATGCCATTCTGGATGTGGACGAATTTCTCTTTGCAGGCTTCACCCCGATGACTATACATCTCGCCATTCAAAAGTTGGAGCCGCTGCCAATGAAGTACACGGCGCGGCGCAACAAGATAGAAAGCCTCGTTCTATTCATAGCGCCTGGGGATGTCCGAGGGTTTAGGGTTTAGGGGTTAGGGTCTAGCGCTTTGGGTCTAGGGTTGAAATCTTTGCTTGCTACAAACCAAATCCCTTAACCCAACAAAAAACAGCCTTTAGGAGGGTTCAAGTGCACATTCAGGTGCTGCTTCTCACATTCCTTACGCCTTACTTCGTCCTGTTGAAGCTGGGCGTAAACCTTCTAGTTTGGGGTGTTCTGCTGGTGTTGTACAGCCCGAATCTTTGAGCCCTAAATCGTGAATCCTATCTTTCCCTGGCAATTCAAACAATCCAAAAAAGGTACTGTTCTTAGACTTGGGGCCCAGAGAAATTGTGCTTCATAGACCTAGATCCCACGGGCTAGGCCCAAAACCTAAAGACTAAACTCTTAACTCTAAAGCAAAAGGCCTCAACTGAAGCCTTTATGTCTAAAGCCTTCAATCAGAAACCCTAAGCCCAAAGGTTTAGGGTTCAGGGTGTAGGGTTTAGGATAGAGTTCAGTGTTTAAGAGATACCTGGTGACCCAATTGTAACCATATTACGGGAGTATAGACAGCTCATAATTGGGTGCTACGTGTTGAGAGTTTATGCCGAAGCCCTAGCCCTGAACCCTCTTTCGTGGCGAGGAAGCCGCAAGTGGATGCCATGCTGGCAGTGAAGCGGGAACTATGTTATGGCAATCAAACATTCGTGGTCGGTCAAAACCAGAACAGCCAAGTCATTTTTGGCATCTGGACTTGAGTGCTTGGAATAGGTTTGAGGGGATATGCTGCCCCCAACTCTCAGCCCTAAACAATAATGCCCGTCCTCCTACTATGAATAATGTCCGAGCCTGACTATTCTAGAGGTCCGAACAGGAAAAGTAAATCGGGCCATGTCATACAGTTAAGCAGAAGTAGCAGGCAAGAGCAGCAGCGTGCACCAGAGGATGAGGAGTTTGATTTCCATTGGAGTTAACATCAGTCCAGTTGTTTTTCGTTACATGCTAATTCAGTTGACCATAGATTCGAATTAGAATTCAATTTGTCACATGGATTTGGACTGATTCTCATTGATTTTCGTTCGACTCATAAAAGGGTTCCGAAACTAATGAACCTGAACAAGTTGCTATTACTCCACGGTTTTCGTCCTAAAATTGTGGAGAGAGATCCTGTAGCTCAGGAAGCAGTGTTTGAGCAGTTAATTCCTAATGATATTTAGTAAGCACATCAGGCCTCAGAAGCCTTAGTAAGCCAATCAGGTTTCTGAACTTTCTGGTTTTAAGAGCAACCTAATGATTAGGTCTCTAACGAAAAGGTTTCTGAGGATAATGACCCTGAAGAGAGTTGCTGCTATTCTAGGGGGTTCCATCATTGTACAGACATGTTTGAGCCTTTGCTGTATCAATTTTAAGCAAATAAGGTCTCAGAATCAGCTTTTTTTCCTCATTTGAAGAGCAGCCAAGTGATCAAGCAACACATGATTTGAGGTTTCAAGCTTCAAGCTTTAGGTTTTTGAGCCCTAGGAATTCAAGCCAGGCCTTAAGCTTGTTGAAATGATCTCCTGATTGAGAAAACCACCGACCTCATTTGTCTAGGGTCCGGGAATAGATTTGTTTAAATCTAGAATTTTTTGGTCCAAAACGTGCCTCTGCCTTTACAGTGCTCTCGGAACACCACTCCCCCCCCCCACGCCCCCTCCTTTTTGTTGAGCTCGGGAACCTTAAACCCTTAACCATAGAATATATAAAGAGCGATCCTAAGCCCTAGACCCTAGAGGATAGTATTTTGAATCAGTAAGGTTCCTACTTGTCCCACTGGACACTTTTTCCGCTTGCTGGGACTTCTATTCTGTAGAAAACGGTATAGGGTTTACTGGGTTGCTGATGAGGACCTTGATTTAAGTTACTATGTTGGGGAAACCCTATTGACTACTATATCTACGCATTATGGCAACTTAATTTAAGTTCCTTAACAGCAACCCAGTTTAGGGCTCATGGTTCTGAACCATGTTCAGCCAGATGTTGGAGGGGAGGGATCTTAGAAAGCTACCCAGTTCAAAGCGGCGGCTGTCTTGATTCGTGCTAGCTTAGCTGAGATCCCAGCCAGTTAGTACCAGAATCTTGGTAACTCCAACCCCTCCAAAATAGTGGGGTTTAGGCTTTGGGGCATTCTAGATAGGGACTAAAGGGTTTAGGGGTACTAGAGTTGTATGTCAACGTGAAAGAGTCCTTACTTGGAATTGAGTATCCAAAGTTAACCATTGCAGGCATGGTGACAGAAGACACACCACTTGGGGGTCACACAGGGGCAGCTCTATCGCTTGTCGAGCGTGCTGTAGAAATCCACAAGTTCGCTGACCCGCATGAGGAGCTGGGTGGGACTGAAAGAGTGGAAAAGATACTGGAAACTACAATTTGGGGTCGAGGGTGTAGGGCTTAGAGACTTTGGCATTACATAGGGGCGACTATAGGGATCCATTCCTCCATTTTCTACTGCCCGCGATTAAGATGAGGAGCCCTACTACATCGGTTTCGTGCCGAACCGAAATACCTTCGACATTGACAGAAGCCAATCCATAGCTGATGAAACTGCAGAGTTCTCTTTCTGTCTGGAGCAAGTGTATTTCACTGAAGGTGCACAGTGGTATCAGGATCCTGCAATGGGTGCTCTGATCAATTTTCGCCTCCGAACTGCAGCAGCAGTACTGGGACGCTTTGATCACATCACCAACTGCCAGCAGGTGGCAGACCTTTGCAGCCAACATGACGCAACTGGGCTTCGGTTATTGAAGTTGAGTCAAGTTACTAGAACATGTGTCAACAGTACATGAGACAGTTTGACATAACCTTGACCCTAAACAACCCACTTGCACCCCTTTTTAGGGGAGTGGTAATCTGGTATCTTCATTGGGGAGTTCCTCAAATATCCCGTATAAGAGGCCCCCATAATCCCCTTAATATCCCCATGCGTCTCTAGCGTCCTGAAGGGCCCCCTTTGTTTTGGAAACATTAAGCCCTAACCCCTAAACCAAAATTCAAGAACCTGTAAGGGACTTACCAGCAACCCAGGCAAGACTGCTGCGGCTGGTATGTGGAGTGACCTGTAACTTGGAGCGTTTGGGTTTAGGGTTTAGGGTTGCATGAAGTTCTGGTTGCGGACCCGGTATATGCTGAACACTTAGCGTTCAGACGTGTCACGCATCCATTACATGCATATGCGGCTAGGTTCTCAGAATCATGCATATTTAAGACCAGTGGCCGGAATTTAGACAAGCTGCCACATGGTGGCCCTAAAGAGAGCAATCTACTCGTTTCTCTGACCCAGCTGACCGCAAGCAACAGCACGAGTACCAGTACTAATACCATCGAAAAGCACGACCAGAAACAGCAATAGTGATGGTAACTGCATCCGAAATATTAATAGTAAGGATAGTCGAAATATTGATACTGCTAGCGGTAGTAAAAGCGAAAGCAGCGAATCCAAGGCAAGTGCTCAGATCCCTTTTCCAGTCCATGGTACAAGGTTCCGTACCATGGTTGTGCAGACAGTTGCTTGGAGATTGCACAGCAGAGGTTAGCATCAGAGGAATGCAAAGATCGGCCTATAGATGACACTTGGAATCAGATGTGGGACGACTACTTACCGACCCTTGTGAACACGTACGGTCCCGCCGTCAGTCAATCTTCCGCCATTCCCCTTTTGGAAGCATTGGTTTTAGCCATGAAAACGGATGGATGTGTTGCCTTGACGCGTCCGGAGTTTCAGTACATCGTTGGCTCTCAAGTTCGATGGTGCGAGGGCAATCCTGACCTTATCCGTCCGCTCGCGTGGACGTGTCCCGAAAGTTGCTGGGTTAAAGCCCATTGTTATAACTTTACGCTAAACCCTGCTACGTCTATATGCCCCCTTTACCAGGAACCATTGATGATAACTCGTTTTGAGCTGTTTTAATTGGCTTAACACAACCCAGGTTGTGGCTGTGCAGCTACAGGAGCCTCGTTGCCCAGCTACTGTCCCCGAAGCTGCGCTGCTTAAAGTATCAGCAGTTTCACCCTACTTGCAGGCTCCTGGGTAATTATGCATGGGGTTATATGTAGGATACCCATAACATGCCGTAGGGTACTGTACCTATAGGTGAGATAGCTCTAGCTATAACCTATGCTAGGGTAGTTATACATTTGCTCATAATTACCCATGATCCTCCAAGTGAACTCTAAACTGACCGGGTGCGATCGCAAAGCATCAGACTTCGCATCATCTCAGCGCCGAAAATCGTCGTCAGCATTTGCGCTGGCAGTGGTATTTGCTAATAGGTAGTTCTGGCCTACTATAGTCGTTCACTTGCGTGGGAGAATGCAGCATTCACAGTAATTGCACTAGGTGTGCTGTAGTTCCCATAGTCTGCCTACTGCAGGAAGCCTCTATATCCTGCAGAGATTTTCCAGTGAATGTTCGTAGCTCTTCGTAAAATCGCTGCAATGACTTTATACTTTGTGGTGGCCGCTGAAGTTACGAGGGGGTTCAGGAGCTTACTTGTAAAGGGTTACAGCAGGGTTTCCATGGGGTCATTGAGGGGATGTAGTATGGGTTCCCGGAGAACTAGACCCCATGACAATCCCGACAAGTACCTTTGTAATCCCAAGAAGGCCCATGTAGCGCCTTTACTGCAAGAAAGGGTTGGACCCTAAAGCCAAAAGTTGAAATGGCAAAGTGGATTCCCCAACCTTGTCTAGAGCAATGATGGTCTGTGGTCGACGTGGGCTTTACATAGCCAGAAACAAACTGGTGATTCTTCAAACAAGCAGCTAGCTAATTTAGCAGTCTAAGTGATTCAAAACATTACTAGGCTCCCCACTGGTAGAGAATATTAAAATACGCAGCCGTACATTTTTCTCATTTTGCCTCTGAAGTGATTCCTCTAGAGCTTGGCAGTCTACTGTCGATGCAAGAAATCCTGCACCACATTACGTACTTTTCCTCCATCAGCCCCTACACCCTAAATTCTAAACCCTAGCTTTATCTCTTGGGTTCATCGAAAGGGTTCCAGGTTCTGATTTCATGTCTTCGGACCAAGGTTTGCCTTCATGTTTCGAGCTTGTGATTTCAAGTACCTCAAAGTTAATGCCATGATATGTTATTCCATGGGTTCAATGTAGTATATCAAATCATGCCATACACTACACATACACAGTGTATGAGGGAGTTTGGCATCCTCAACATTGCAATGTAACTACCCAATGATTTTCATAGCGTCCTTACTCTAGGGGTTGGGGTTGCCAGACTCCCCTTCTTACTATGGAGGATTGTGGCTTTAGCATTCCCTCTGTTGGGATCTGCAAGGTTTGCTATGGGTATAGGTCTTGCTGGCTCTTTCAGAGTGCTCCTTCAGGAATGGGCATAAATGTTAGCCCCGTCAACCACTAGAGCCTAAACTCTCTAGGCTTTCCAGTATACACCCAAAAAAAACGAAGCCCAAATATTTCTAGATGACATGAGCAAGTCTCCCGCTATCTTGAAATTGTTCCAATAAACTAAGACCCTAGTGAGTTGAGCACCCTTCGCCCTATGAATTGCATCCCATTGACTCAGGCTTCCGCGCGGCACCATCCGCAGCAAAAGCTTGTCGGCCCATGGGTCACGCGTTTCCGAAGCGTTCCGAAGTTCCACTCGGTACCATTAAAAAGGTTCGGGGTTCAGGGCTAAGCATTTAGAGTTCAGGTTCAGGGATCAGAAGTTGAACAACTCAGGGCTAAGGCTGGGGTAGCTTTTTGCTAGTTTGATGGCCTCGATCAACAGAACTCCAACATAGCCGTAAAGCCTAAAGCCCAATAGACCTTGGGCCGTGTGAAGCTATGCCAATTGACTTGGTACGGCCCCTTAGAGCCTGCCCTGTGCACCAACGAATGTGCAAATCCCTGTTGCTGGGTCAAACGTGGCTCAGCCTCTCAAACCCTACGCTAGTAACATTAAGATCTTCCATGCAATCCTCAGCCCAAACACCAATCCCAAAACTTTCATGCGAAACGAAGCTCCCCAGCTCTAGAGCCCACATAACATAACAAGCTGACAACTCAGTTTGCCGGTACAGGCCCGGATACAGACTCCCAACCTCTGCAGCGAGGCAAAAAAAGTTTCAGGTTTCGGTGGTTGAAGCCTTGTGAGTGAGTAGGGTCCGTTTAAATTACTGGTGGTCAGTCAGTAGAGAACGGATCCCGACAGTAGTACTGTAAGTACGCCCAGACCCTGCCTGCGAAAGGCCTCAAATTCAAGTTCCACCGACTCCCGCTAGTTTGGTCATTTTCTTTAAGCGAAATGGTTGCAAAATTCATAATAGCGACCTGCATGCTCCGCGTGTAGTCGCTTTATAGCCCCAGGTCTCCAAAGGCATTCCCCTTTCGAGAGAGCCCCGTGTTGAACATCCCATCCCTAACATGAAGCATGTGCCCTAGCAGGTAAAGCCTCTTAAGCGCAGAATTTTCTATGAGTGATGGGGAGTATTACTGAACAATCGGAAATAGAATAAATTGTTGCAGATTTAGAGCAGCCTCCTTTTGGAAAGACACCGTCTTGAAAGGGTCCTCTTTCAATCTCCATGTCAGTTTGGGTGAGGGTACATCCTAATCCAGCCCTATACATCCCTGCAGCAACCCTTCAAGGAATCTTTCCTTGGCTCTTCGGGTTTAACCTTTGCCTGTGGTACCAGGCACTGAGACTTGAATCGTGAAGCATAAGCCTGCAAATTGTAGACCTGAGGGTTTAGGGTGTAAGGCTTGGCTACCACACATGAAAGGTCACGGAGCGTTTGTTACAGTTTATTGTAGAGCTTATTCGGCTTCTCACTGTGTGACGGCCGACCATAGCACACATTTTTTGGGATGGTCAACCCTACCTGCTGTTGATGCCCAACATCGTGCATGACCGGGGTATACTAGCATACCATGAGTCCTAAAGTATAAGACTCTGAGGGTCATGCTTGATAGTTGGGAGGTCTGCTTCATTCAGCTCATTGAACAGCGAGGGTCTTGGCTCAGACTTCCTTACATCTTCTGTGCCTGTAGGGCAACAGCAGGAACCGCCAAGGCTTCAAGCGTGAGCACAGCAAGCATCAACACAAAGCGAGGCCAATCCTGTCACTCCTACGCTTAGTATCTCAAAGCTCATATACCCCAGATCCCTCAACCCCTGAGCCCCTAAGCCGTGATCATTCCATCAAGGGCCCTCCTGCACACTTTACGAACGATTGTTTGGCAGAGTCGATCTTCTAGATCCCCCCAAAGGTCTAGCCACATCATGGGAATACGGGAACTATACTGGGTTCTATGGGGCTTCTTACGAGGCGTGTACACCCCCACTCTCCTTGAACCACCAGTAGCAACATTGTGGCTTTCATGCTCTTCGTATGATTTCACCCATCTGCAGCTGACTGCATGTCAATGTGGAGGCGGGGAACTCATCAGAATTTGCAGTGACCTGTGGCTCGGGTTGTATGACTTTCGGGCTCATCATTTGGGGTTGGATGATAGGATGGAGGCGACCGGAACTTCAGTGGTGCAGCCGACCTTATGAATTGTGCTTCTCCCATGACTGATGCTAGGCTTGTTTCAAACCCATTATATGGGTGTCGGGGGCGAGTTGCGCGAGTTCTGTTAAGAGATCATGGAAGCTGTCCAATAAGGGCAGGTAGCAGAATCCTGCATGTCTAGCCTGAGAACTGTAAGCTTGCCTTGCCCTCAACAGGATGCTTAAAGAGATAGATAGACAGAAAGAAGCCTCCTGACAAAATGCGCTGCAACACCTTGTAGCAAAGCTCGCGGGGAAGTGAGGGATGTCGTTAAGTATGTTGGGCTTGGAATTTGGGATGTGGGTATGAGCTATTAGGGGCCGTTTTGGATTGCTGGCAACCCGAACTGGATGGAAGAAGTTATGCACTAGCTTAAGTCCCTCAAAACCTGGGAAGTGCACTAGTTTGTGATGCTAGGGTGATGTACGATTTCTTGCTTGAATGGTTGCCGTCATTTCCACGAGCGGTAAACCACTCCCTGCCCCCGATGTGAGATCGGATGTCTTATACAAGGTTCTAAATCGAAAGCTGTCCATATCAGGGGTATGTGATTGTGATCCACTTTTTTATCAGCTGATATCCTACGTCTCTTCTGAGTAGCGCTTCTCACCCAAACCAACCCTAGTAGGCCTACCTAGGCTCTAGCTCAAACAGCCGCAACAGCTTGGAACGCGAGGGCTGTTCAATCCAAACAGCAGAACGATGTGGGCAGGGCGGCAAGGGTTGATTTTGATAAGCAAATTTAAATTTGATCCGAAAAAAATGCAGAAAATCGAGTGTCTAATTTATAGGCCCCCAAATCCTACCTTAGATGAGGAGGTACGAGGCATTTTGCAGGAGATTTGGAGATTGGAGAAGCTCCAGATGAGTAGCCTACAAACAGGGATACGATTGTCCTCAATATAGAGTGGGACATCTGTCTCCTTATGCTTGAAGTTTTGTGCAGAAGATCGCTCGGGCAAAGCCCTACTGCAATGAAGCAGTGTGACGGGGCTTGCGGCAGGCCCGTTTACATTCTTGACACGCATTGCGCTCCCGAGACGAGTGCAGGGCAAGATGCATGGCTTACAGTAGTCATTTTGCGGATGTCTGCGGGGGTCACCCGCTCAGGATCGCTTCACGCCCAAACCCCATGCTCCCCGTGACAAGCATGGAACTGCAGCTGTATGCTTGGAAAAGGGACGGAGACTCCTCAGCCTGAAGAAAAAAACCCGTAGCTCCCAGCTGGAAAGCCTCATGATGGTCGTCGCTCTTTGAGGACTGGTGGTTCCAAGGTAGGTAGTCTGCCATAGGCCTTCACCCGGCCTGATAAAGGCCCTCATGCAAGGGCCACCGTGGAATTGCTCAACTTCTTAGCCGAGTAGACAGCCTTCACCCTTGCTGGGTCGAT